GGCCTCGGGTCTGTGTAGTACCCACGTACGGTCTCGCCAAAGTTTTCTTCGGGTATGTTGCTAGCTCGAGAACCTGAGAAGCTGTAAGACTGGAATTTTAAAGGGTGCCGACACATCTTTCTAGCAAACCTCAAACAAAACGCAGTCGGAACACACATACAGAGAGGATTTCGACAATAAACGTTTTGCACAACTGTACAAAATGCATAAAAAAATACTACGCAAAAAGTTAGACTGTAATAAAACGAACAATTTCTTGCGTTTCTTGTCTTTGTTCCGAGCAGTCTTCACCTCGTTTGTAATCCTTCCACACCGCTATCACTTCTTTCCTCTCTACATTCGGTAAGTCATTAACGAACGAAGGTAAACTACACTGGCGAGTTGCAGCCTGAAACATACAAGAAATACTTAAATCATAATAAATACAAGAAAAACCAAAATTATTAAAAAAAACCTCGTCAAAAAAAAAAAAATCCAAGAAATGTGTAATGAAATCAATAAATAGCGGTGCGTAAGAGGGTAGTCAGTAACCGTGCACTTTGCGCAGTTCTACCCTGTGGCACTTGTTTTTAAGTATATTCACTGATTTACAGATTGTTGTGGGCAAGAACAGTCGAAATGTTTTCTGATTCTATAGCTACGGAATTTGTCACCGAAAATCCCATGTGCTCGCATGCAAAAAGCAGGCTTTTTATGAGAACTGGATCTGAAATTTTAGAATCGCAAATGAATAGAAAACAATAATATTACTTTTCTGTTTCGTCTGGCCCCAGAACTAAAAATTTTCCGAGTAAAATTTCATTTGTTCGAAGCGTACATGAAAGGTAGATGTGAAACTTCAAGTCTGTACACCGAGGGTGAACACCTTTCAATTTTCGATCTTGCTGATTCCCGAAGCAGGAAATTTACCGCCAAAATTCCACACATCAATAGTGACACCTGGATGTATGTGGAAACTGAATTTAAACTTGCGCGGTCGCGTTTGGGGAAGGAATTTTCCCTCGAAATTTCAACCTCCTAGCTTTTGTAATGTCTAGGATACTAATTTCCTCCACCAAAACTTTAAGTTGCCGTACGCGGGACTTGAGGGTCTAGGATACTAATTTTCTCCGCCAAAACTTTACGTTGCCGTACGCGGGCCCTCAGACATAATCGGCCCTCAGGCCCGCGTACGGCAACTTGAAGTTTTGGCGGAAGAAATTAGTGTCCTAGATGCATAACAAAAGCTAGGAAGTTGAAATTTTGAGG